GAGAGTATTTATTATTATACTGTTATTGTTGATTTTATACTATTTTCACCCCTTTGTATGGTCCATACTAGTAGCGGCCCATCACTCATCCAAGTCGAGTCAGCCAATACAATAAAACACAGATCCGTCCCCTTTGTCTTTAGATATCTTAAACCCCATACATTGTGAGTTGAAAATTAGAATTTCTTTATAGATTTTTATTAAAAAATTAGAATTGGTTGTGTTGGATTTTACGATGCGTGAGCACCGTGCGGAACCAAAACCCGCCCGGACTGCATGCATAATTAATACAACTAAACAAATAAGCATGCAATTAATAAAGCAGTAAACACATAAAGAGGAAGATAGGAAAAGTAGGAAAAAGACATTCTTACCCTCGTAGCATGCTTCACACGAACCCGAGCACGACTCTAGGAAATCTCTAAGACACGCACGCGCGAATCCTCCTACTTCGCATACCCACACGCACCGAACAAGGTTCTTACCTCATAGCTTAGACGAGGCTAAACCAAAACTTGAGTTTTACGAACTTAAAGGTTTTCTCACGCTTTTGGGAAATGCCTTATTGAGTTCAACTCAAAGTGTAAATTTTTCAACTCCCAAAGTTGGTATTATAAGCAAAGCACTCCCAAAAACCTCAATCATCTTTCCATGTGAGAGAGTTGATAAAATGAGAAAATAAGCAATTAATTTAATTCTAAATTAAATTAAATAGGCAAGACAAATAATCAAACAACACTTGGCACACACATGGGAAGGGATAGGTGAGGATTACAGGGGAGGACCACATGCCCCCTTGCTCCCCAAGCAAAGCTCTCCCAAATAAGCATGTGCCACGTGGCCGCCCTTTGCCTTGGGCAACAAGGGTGCCTTGTAGGCTGCCCTTGTTCTCTTGGCTGGGCTAACAAGCACAGCAAGCCCGCATGCTTACGGCTGGGCGTTGCTTGATTGAGGGCTAACCTTGCGGCTAGCTAGCGCTGCTGGCACGCACGCTAGCTCGGCCAGCACGCACAGCTCCGCATGCCTCGGTCAGCTTGCTGCTTGGCCTATGCGAGGGCTTGTGCTGCAATTGCATGCCCAACCCCGCATGCCCTGGCCATCACCATGCTGAGCATATGCGAGGGCTTGGGCTGCAGTTTGGCCTTGCCCCCACTAGAGTGGTGCGGTTAGGCCTCATGCTAGGCTTGCAAGCCTAGCATGTCGTGTCGTTTGATTATTTTATGTCTCATCAATTCCTAGAATCATCTCGACGCTTGACACTCGGCTTCGACGCTCTAAGCTCAAAATCCGACGTCTTAATTCGTAAAGTCCTTATTGACGTATTTAATCCTTCAAATTCGTCGACTTTGTTCGGTTATACGATTGGGTGTGACCCATAGGGTTCAGTCAAGAGCAAGTTATAAGATTAATTATATTAATCTTACTGATCGGAAGCGGCTTCTAGCTAGACATTCCGATCACTTAACCTCACTGAATAATTAGCTTTCCTAATTAATATTAAATCCTCTATCGGAATAATTCACTTGTGCGAAGGACACCATTCCTTTCAGGTTGAACTCATATGTCCCACCAAAATTACTTGAACGGTTGATCCAAAACAACCCCTAAAAGTTTATGGGCTTTATAAGTCTAGTTATTTGAGCCATAGTGTCTGCTACAGATGTAATCTATCTCATCTTTCTCCATGTTGGTTGACTTGGGGTCAATTTTCAATCTTTAATTAGCCTCAAGTTGTTGTTCTTTTCAGATGTAGTTATTGTTTGTAAAAAATAAAAGTTTAATACTTATAAAAAAAAAATCGCATTTTATAAGTGTAACACTTAAAAATTAAATAGTAGTTTTATTGTCTTTTAAGAAAACTGCAATGATAATAATGTAGTCAAGTATTTTGTCAAAAAAAATGTAAGCAAGTATTAGTATTGTAATACTTCCTCCATTTCTTTTTAGTTGACACGTTTCTTTAGTCACGTTTGCGAATGCACAACTTCAACCATTCATATCTTTAATTATCGATAAACAAAAATTACGAAAATTTGATATTTTGAAAATATATATCGTGATGAATCTAACAAGATCACACATGACTATATATATTTTTCATTACGTATAAAACACAAAATACGGTCAAAAAAGAATGTGTGAATAGTGCTAAAGTCAAAACATGTCAGTTAAAAAAAAGCGGAGGTAGCATTGTTTATCATTCCTCAAAAATTTAAACATATAAAATTGTAAACTAGCAGTCACAAGCAATAATTAATTAATGTTGGACAATAGAAACTACAATCCAACTGCAATAGAACATTCAACGTTGTTGTCTTAAATGACGAAGAATAGAGATATTTTATTGCTGGATACAAAAATTCGATACTGTTATGTATGCACAAACCCAAATATCTCCAGAGTCGCCAATAGGCATAAAAAGAGCGGCAGCATTTTTTGGATCCCGCTGGCTTGAGAGCTACGAGTAATCAACTACGGATCACTCTTTAGTGCTTGTTCGGTTCAACGTGGAAAATAAATTCCCACATGAAATTATATATTATGGAAGTTATTTCCCTTGCTAATTGCATACAAATTTTATAAAAGTGTTTGGTTGACATTATGAAATTAGTATTTTTTAGGAAATAACTTCCTATGCATTGTAGGAATTAACTCACCAAGAGGGGCTTGGTGAGTTATTTCTCATGTTATGCGGAAATTTACATTTTCCTTGGAAATTTCATTTCCTAGCAAATTTCTAACCAAACTCAACATATTTTAGCTATTGCCTAGGAATTTCCATTTCCAAGGCCAAAATTATTTTCCTTGGAGATTTCACAAACAACGTAGTTACTTACCTCAATAAACGACGATTTCATAGAGTTTGGAATCAGATCGAATAAAATTATGTGTATGTGTTTAGTACTTCATTCTTAATATCATGCGTTTAAAGTTAGATATTTATGATCAAACTTATATCTCGGTTAATGTGTCGATCACAATAATACAAATATTAAAAATAAAAAAATAAAAAAATAAAAAGAAAAAGAAAAAGAAGAGGGCGTATGGGTTTTACACATTCTAACTCATTAACCATTAATCATACCTAGCAGGCTAGTAAGGTACAACCAATGGTAAAATTTGCTCATTTGATTAAATGAACAAAACTTGTATTACGGTCTATGGAGTATGAGTTAGTGACACAACTTTGCTAATTTCTATTTAAATGAGTAAAAATAATGTTTGTTTATAAAGTGAAAAACATTATTTGGGTAGATTTTTGTTTGTTAAAAAAAGAAAAAATTGAAAAGAATAATCCTAGCTTTGACACATCTTTTCAAAACAATCTCACCTTTCCATATTCCAGAAATAATCCCACCTTTATACCCCATATTCTCAAAACAAGCCTTTTACTTGTTGGTGAAATTAGTAACCTGTTTAGAAGGTCTTTTGCCACGTGTCGTCTTCTAATTTGGTTTTGTTATTTTTTTAAATAATAAAGAAATAAACAAAAACATTAATAATCCTTAGCTTCTTCTTCCTTACCCTGCTGGAGCTCCCTCCCTCGCCGGACCTAGCCGCCCCCGGAACAGCCGGACTAGCCGCCCTCCTTGATTCCCTCCTCTTCCCCGTTCCCCATTCCACTTCCCCTTCCCCGATTCCCTCCCCTGCCAGACCGATGCCGCCAAACCCAGCCGCCGATTCTCTCCCCTGCCGGACTTAAAATTTACCCTTGGTGTGTCAAGTTGACTTCTCGTTGCTAGGCCGCCTGAATGCCGAGAAACTCTGATTCGATCCGCCGGGGCACGTTGATCAAGTTCTGGGCCTGAAAAATGTCTGAATCCCCTCGCCGTCAGGACTATACACAACACCTGAACGAGGTTTCCGATTTAGGTGGGTTTCGATCTGGAGCTTAAGAGGGGACTTGGGGTAGGGATTAGTCATGGAAGCCCCTTCCCTGACAATTGAAATTGAAGGTGAATCACCGAAAATTGTCAAATTATGCCGTTGAAATGCTCGGAAAACAGAGCATCAATCCATGGAATAACAACAAAGAGGAAAAATGCCGTCAATAATTGAGAATTGGTTACGAAATGCGGTTGCCGTTTCGAAACCTCGGAGCTTGACAAAACGGAATCAATGGCGGTTAAATTCTCGTCTTTTCATCTCCGCAGTGCTATGATGGCCATTGAGATCAGGTAGGGGGTAGGGATGGTGGTTGTTCAGGAGAGTTGTGGGATTTAGGTGGGCGTGGCTCAGGTGGCGGGGCGGGGCTGGGGTTGCATCTCAGGTGGTCAGTTTGGTGGTGATGTTGGGAAGGTGGTAAATTTAGTGGTGATGGTCATGGTGGTTGAATGAACGGGGTGAGGTGGAAAAAGAAGATTAAAAAAAAAATTTAACCTGTAAAGCAGGTTGAAGGTAAAAATGCTTGTTTTGAGAATATGGGGTGTTAAGGTGGGATTATTTTTAGAATACGCAAAAGTGGGATTATTTTGAGAAGATGTGCCAAAGGTGAGATTATTCTTTTTAATTTTTCCTTAACAAAAAATCATGTATAGAACAATTATTTAAGAACTAACAGGGGATTAATTGTAATTTACAACCCATTAAACACCCTATTTTAATTTAACCACTCAATTTTTTAAGAATCGAAAATGCTTCATTTGGTGTATATAATGCAAACTAGAGGTAATTCTTAACACGCAAAACGAGATATTTCCAACAACTTATTTCAATTCTAACTTCAAATCAAATCCAAAATGCCAAATTGATTTTCAAAACCTTAATACAACAATTTTTGAAACGAAAATCGATGTTTTTATTTTAATAATTGGAACATATGGTAGTTTCCTCGATACTAGAGTCAGAGCAAAGACTTGTAAAGTTGACCCAAAATTCACTCTTAGGCAATTAGACCAAATAATACGGGTCAATTATAAGGGTCAATTATAAGGCCCACCGGCCCAAAGTAGTCAATATTGATCAGCTTGTTTGCCATATTCTCACGGCATAATATAAAAATCTCGGCCAAAATTCACATTTTCTGTGCAATACTAATTTATCAAAATGTTATTCGTCATTAATCATTCAAAGCTACATCTCTATTCATCTCTTGTTTTTGTTATCTTTAGTTCAAGGTTTATCATTAGTGAACCAACTTATGTTACTTCTGAATGCTTTGACGACAAATTCACCCTCGAAGCCTCATTTTCGAGCAACCTCAACAAGTTGTTATCTTCGCTGCCAGAAATTGCAGGCCAAAGCATCAATAATGGATACAATGCCACAAATTCGGCAGACTTGGCTGCAATTGATTCGGAGAAAGTCTATGTCCTATTCCTATGTCAAGGTGATGCAACTTCTGATGATTGTAAAGGCTGCGTGTCTGATGCAGCTGATAAAATTCAGCGCCAGTGTCCGAATGCCAAAAGAGCGGTAATTTGGTATGATACATGCATGGTTCGGTACTCCAACACGTCTTTTCTTGGGGATGTCGATGAGAATATTCAAGTTGGTTTGGCAAACACCGAATACTTCATGACTGATGTTAACAAGTTCATGAATTTGACGGGTAATACCTTGTACGATTTAGCTTCTAAACTGGGCAAATCCGAGGATAATCCTAGGTTGTTAGGGGTAGGAGACAGGAAATACTACTTAACTAAAGGTGATGTTGTTTTTAATAGTTTGATAAAATTATATACTAGAGCTCAATGCACGCCTGACCTTACTGCAATGAACTGTCAGAAGTGTCTTACCATTATGCTTACTAAGATGGCCACTTATTGTAATGGGAGAAAGGGTTGTCAGATGATGAATCCTAGCTGCAATACACGGTACGAGGTCTATCAATTTTATAAGGATATAGCCTCACCAGTGTCACCACCACCTGTTGCGGCATTGTCACCACCGCCAAGGACAACACCGCCACCTCCTGTGAAGGGTACGTAATTATTTTTTTACACATGTTCCCTAATATATACTTACTTCTAACGCAACTAAGATCGATTTTTAAAGTTGAGTCATGCTAAATTATTATGTCCACACGAATCCAAATCTGAATCAGATATTTTTCAGGTCGGTTTTGGATCCTTTTGACACCTCTAGACTTAATACTTGATATATGTGACATTTAATCATTATTTTTCACTATATTTTTTTTAATGGAAAGTTAATAGTGTTTCTAAGTTGTCTCGATACTCTAACGATAATTTTGATAAAAGAATCTAGGTCACACTCGTCACAAATATCTAAAGAGGTTCCACCTCAAAACCATATGGAGATGAGGTGAGTAGCCCCTTAGCCTTTCTTTTCACGCTCGAGTTAATAAAGTGTACTTCTCAATAGACGTCTTTAATATTGGGTAATAGACGTTTGTATCTTGAATTGAAAGGATCATTTAACTGGCGTTGTTATGATCGCCTGATGTCTTCCTTTTTTGGACAGACGGTTTAAAAATAGTTGGGCAAATTATGCGCTTGCCACTGTAAAGCTTTTCCTTGAAAGCCGGCTACTTTTTAGGCTTCAAGATTCTAGACGCCGTCTGTATTACCTTTGGGTAATAGGCGTCTGTATCTTGAATTCGAAGGATCATTCAACTGGCATTGAGTTATGATCGCTAGAACAATGTGCCACCCGGAAGGGAGATGTTCTCGTCAACGATTGAAGCTAAATTCAAATCGCCGGATGTCTGCCTTTCTGGACAGACAGTTTAAATTTATAAATCCAAGTATTACTTAGATGCGTGCCCGGATGCGTATTACGCATGGGACTTGATTTATGTACGTAATGAACGGATGAGTATCCGGCTGTGCTTTGCAAAATTACGAACAGAAAAGTACAATATGTATTAAACAAATAAGTGACGGCTGTGCATTGCACGGCTGGGACATGATAAAAATAATTAAAATAAAGCATCTTTATTAATATACTCTATTACAAATCCTTAGAAGTATTACTTTTTCAAGTTGTCTACATTCCAGGTTCTGGCTAGCTGCCTACCGTCTGGAGTTTCCAGGCGGTAAGTGCCGCCTCTAACTTCTTCGGTAATTCGGTAGGGCCCTTCCCAATTTGGGGTTAGTTTCCCTTGTTCATTTGTCCCACCGGTTGCCTCCATTTTTCTCAATACAAAATCCCCTACTTTTAGAGGCCGCTTGTGCACTCGTTTGTTGTAGGCTCTCGTCATTCTCAGCGGTATATTTCATGACGCAAGGCAGCATTGCCCCTGCGCTCCGGAAGTGAATCCAATGCTAGACGCATGGCCTCCCAATTAGCCTCTTCGTCATAAAGCATGACTCGAAGTGTTGGCTCATATAGTTCAATTGGCAGGACGACTTCAGTGCCGTATGTCATGAGGAACGGAGTTTCACCGGTTGCCCCCTTTTTAGTTGTTCTGATGGCCCATAGAACATGCGGCAATTCGTCTGCCCATAGACCACCAGCCCTTTCTATTTTCTTTTTTATACCGTCTGAGATGAGTTTGTTGAAGGCTTCAACTTGGCCGTTTGCTTGGGGACGGCCGACGGATGCAAAACAATGGGTGATCCCTTGATCCCCCAACCAACTCTTGAGCATTGAAGTTTCAAATTGAGGACCATTGTCAAAGACCATGGATAGAGGCACCCCAAACCGGGTGATTATGTTTCTTCACATGAAGGAGATAACGTCCTTTGTCTTAATGCCCTTCACCGCCTCTGCTTCTACCCATTTAGTGAAGTAGTCTACAACCACTAAGATGTACCTACGCCCGCCTGAGGCAGGCGTATATGGTCCTAGAATGTCCATGCCCCATTTCGCGAATGGAACCGGGCTGTAGATAGCCGTCAGGTCTGTTGCCGGACGGTGTATGAGCCGGCCAAATTTTTGGCACTTGTCACACCTCTTCACTAATTCCATGGCATCTGACTCAAGAGTTGGCCAAAAATATCCCTGCCGCCTGGCTCTCTTGGCTAGGGATCTGCCGCCTATGTGCGTTGCACAAAAGCCTGAGTGCAGATCTTCCAAGATCTTTTTCCCCTTTTCAGGAGTTACACATTTTAAGAGCGGCTGGAGGTAACCCTTCTGGAAGAGTTCCCCTTGAAATATTTCAAAACCGGCGGCCCGTTTTTTCAACAAAGCCGCCTCAGCAGGAGTATCCGGCAGAGTGTCGTGTGCTAAAAATTCCCGGATGGCATCCATCCAGGTAGAGCTTCGGTCAAGAATTCCAATGGGATCATGCTCAATACTTCTATTTTCCATGACTTCCCAGAAGACTGACCTAGGCGCATCACATGTGGCGAATGATGCCAGTTTGGACAACGCATCGGCCTGATTGTTCTCTGACCTGGGCACTTGACTTAGTTTAAATTCCTCAAGCGTCCCGGCCTCCTCTTTGACCGCCTGCAGGTATTTGATCATTGCCGGATGGGTGGCTTCAAAGTCACCATTGTATTGGCTGACGATCAATTGAGAGTCTGAGCAAGCGTCAACTTTTCTTGCCCCTACTGCCTTACACATGCGGATACCGGCTAGCAGAGCCTCATACTCTGCCTCATTATTCGAGGCTTGAAACTTGAACCGTAGTGCATATTCATAAGTATCCCCTTCCGGGGATTTGAAAATTACGCCTGCACCACAACCATTCATTGTAGAGCTCCCGTCTACATACAGCTTCCAAACCTGATCTATATTATTCGGCTGGGTTGGCCTTGTCATTTTGACAATGAAGTCAGCAAACGCCTGGCCCTTCACTGCTTTTCTAGGCTCGAAGGTGATTTCCAAGCTTTGAATGGCAATTGCCCATTTCAGAAGCCTGCCGGATGAGTCCAAGGTTGTCATTGGCCGCTTGAGGGGTTGGTCGGTATAAACCACCACCGGATGCGCCAAGAAGTATGGTTTTAACTTCCTGACGGCCATGAATAGAGCGAGGCCGAATTTCTCAACCATGGGGTATCGTAGCACTGCATTTCGGAGAACATAGCTTATGAAGTAGACCGGGAGCTGCGTGTCATCTCGCTCAGCAAGGAGGACGGCACTAAGGGAATGATCCAAGGCGGCCAAAAACATGTAGAGCACTTCACCGGTTAACGGGCTGACCAGCCGTGGTAACGAGTGAAGATGCTCTTTTAATGTTAAATGTCGCCTCAGCATTCTCCCCCCATTCAAATCTGGTCTTCTTCTTGATTGCTTGGAAGAAGTAAAGGCACTTGTCACCTGACCGGCTGAGGAATCTACCCAAGGCGGCCAGGCAACCGGTAAGCTTTTGGACCTCTTTGACAGTACGGGGAGACTTCATGTCAATCACCGCCTGTACCTTGTCCGGATTAGCCTCTATTCCCCTTTGATCAATCAAGAAACCAAGAAACTTTCCGGAATCAACACCAAAGACGCTTTTTTTTGGGATTTAACATTACTTTATGCCGCCTGAGTGTTGAGAAAGTCTCCCAGAGGTCAACAAGGTGATCCGCCTGCTGTTTGGATTTGACTATCATGTCATCAATGTACGCCTCCACATTCCTCCCAATTTGATTAATGAAGACCGTATTAATCATCCGTTGGAAGGTAACAGGCGCATTCTTCAACCCAAAAAGCATCACTGTATAACAGAACAACCCTTGATCAGTGACGAAAGCCATCTTTTCTTGATCTTTTTTCCACAAGGGTATCTGATGGAAGCCGGAGTAGGCATCCATGAAGCTCATCAGGGCATGGCCGGCTATAGAGTCAACCAGACAGTCAATATTAGGAAGCGAATAGCTATCCTTCGGACATGCCTTGTTCAGATCTGTGTAATCTACACACATCCGCTAGGTACCATTCGACTTCTTGACCAGAACAACGTTCGCTACCCAATCTGGGTAGTAGCATTGCCGAATGAACCCGGCATCTAGGAGCTTCTTGACCTCGGCGGCTACCGCCTGAGATCTTTCTTCACTGTGGTTCCTCTTCTTTTGCCTAACCGGCTTCTTCTTAGGATCCACGGCAAGTCTGTGAACAGCAAGATCTGGATGTATACCCGGCATCTCGTCCACTTCAAAGGCAAAGATGTCTTTGAACTCTTTCAGAAGTTGGTGCAGTTCCACACTTAACTCCTCGAAGGCAACCGTCCCCATTTTGACGGTTCTCTCTGGACGGTTGTCATCCAGGATTAAATCTATGTTTTCACCAGCCGGTTGGGGACGGAACTCATATGATCGTTCCCCAATCAGTGATTGCTATTTTTTGCCTTTTTTGGCGACCACCGGGTGGTCCGCCTTCCTTTTTTTGCCGGCTGCTGAAAGAACAGGCGCGGCTTCCATGATTTCTTCACCGAGGGTGGGTTCCTCATTGATGCCGGCTGGGGTTACAGTCGGCTTGACGGCTGTGAAGTAGCACTCCCTAGCCGTCTTTTGATCCCCACTCAAGGAACCCACCGAGCCCATCAT